CTACCACTGGAAAAAAATTTTCCGTAACAGAATATTTTAATTTTTTTTATGTAATATTTTTATTGTAATGGTAAATGTATATAGTTTTATATCTTTTTGTGCTGTTCAATTGTTTTATTGCTCTACAAAGAATGTTGGCCTGAAACCATAAAAAAACGACAGTTACACTTTAAGTCGTATGAAAAACAAAAACCAATAAAACGAATGAATTAAAAGCATTTCAAGTTTAAACAGAAAATAAGCAATAATGACTCATTTCGGACAAAAATCCTTTTAATTGATAAAACAATAGGCGTTAGTTTCGATCCGATAAAAATATAATAACGCCACTCATGCTTTCATAACCCAAGTAGCATTTTTGATAAAAGCACACAATTGTATCTTATCGCATGAATAAAAGAATAAGTTACATGATTTATTATTTTTCTTATCATATTATCATTTGACTTAATAACTTCAGATGTTTTATTATCAGTGATTACGAATCTGTGGCGGTCGGCGGATCAAGTATTAAGGCACTTTTCAAAAAATGGAAACAATAATTATTAGATAATTCAAAACATTTTTGATGTGTACATCATATGATTTAAATATTCACCACTTAAGTAATACATTTCTCTATTAAATAAATTTAACATTGTGATAACTTTTTTTTTTTTGAATTTTTGGACATTAGATAGTCTTAAAAAAATTTTTTACGTTCAGAACTATCGGTGTTGTGTACCTTACAGTTTTTGAACAATGTCATATTATATGCGTAAGAAATTGGCTTTTTTTACAGAAATATTTCAGGAAAATATTGGAAAATACTTGAAAAGTTATTTGACGGATAGATATATATTTGTAATTACTTTTTTTTAATCAATGATTTTTGATAAAATAATAGCGTACATTGCTTTTTTTCCATGTATTAAAACACTAAATTGTAAAAAATTTTATATATAAATTTTACGAATTTAAAAAAAAAAATTATAGAAAACTTTTGCTATAATTTATGTTAGTTTCTGTCTCTAGACAGATTTATAAATTTAATCTAAAATTTTTGCTGTCAATTAAATTTAAACTTAATTTGTCAGAGTTTAAAATTTAGATGTGTGTAATGTTTCTTATCTTTTGGAAACTACCAATTACAAATTGCTGCTTAATATTTTAATTCGAGAAGAAAATTTTTTGCCAGTGGTAATCAATCAGTAAATATTACTTTAAAAAATTTTATTTTATCTGATTTCTACCAATAAGACTTACAAATGATTTTAACGAATTCATGTGAAACTAGTTAAACTTAATTTTTCTAGTCACCCCAGAGACTCTGTATACAAACTGCTTATATTTTTTAATTTTACTGTAATTTAACGATGAATGGGATATGGGTCTTTTGCGCGCCCAGGTGCCCAGCTTTTGTTAAATCAAGTAAAGTAAACTTAATTTTTCGTAGATGTTCCCTATTTTGATGCAACACAAACTTGTCTACCACTAGAATAAATTTTCTTAAAATGCATTGAAGTTGGCAGCCCTATGATTGGAAAATTCTTNTCTGTATTAGAACAATTTAAAATCATTCATAACTTTTTTAAAAATGTAGATAGAGAGATGAATTTTTTTCTGTACATTTGAAATACTTTGAAGTTTTATTATAAGCAATAAAAAAAAATTTGGTATTTTCGTCATTTTTTGGGTACTGTGACCCCTTAATTTTACTGTAATTTCACGATGAATGGGATATGGGTCTTTCGCGCGGCCCAGGTGCCCAGCTTTTGTTAAATCAAGTAAAGTAAAGTAAACTTAATTTTTCGTAGATGTTCCCCATTTTGATGCAACACAAACTTGTCTACCACTAGAATAAATTTTCTTAAAATGCATTGAAGTTGGCAGCCCTATGATTGGGAAATTCTTTTTGAAGTGGTATCAAAATTGAGAAAAATTAAGTTATTTTAGTTATTCGTATCTGCAAATATGTTCAATTTAAAGAAGCCGTGTTAAACCTTATCTACCACTCATTAAAACTTTCTAGGTTGCAGCAACCCTGGAGATACAATAGTATTACTTTAATCTATACGCTCAATTTGTATTACGGGTCAGCAAACTGGGACTCTTGGCCAATGGTCACTTATCGGCTAACTCTGCTCCAATTAATTCGCTCGACCCCACTTAATCCAAATACAAAACGCTCTCGAATCGCAGAAATACAGGGCAGCCAACTTTCCACGCTTTTTCTAAAAAATGATACTAATGGTATAGCTCAGTTTATATTTTATTGCATTATTTTTTATTCATTCAAACTAATTCTTTACACCATTACGTATGAATTTAAAAGTACGTAGCCAATGCAACTCTTTGAAGGAGAGGATTTTAAAATGTTGGCAAAATTAATAAATATTTTAATATCTTTGGATTTTAAATGTCTATCATTCTATAAAATATTTTGGAAAAAGTCGAGTAATTGGCAGACTTGGAAATATTACATGTGGCACTTGATTCACACTCCGATGATTATTGCTTATGTAAATTGCACTTCAGGGTAACACGAATCGATTTCGACATTCCTAGTCCTAGTGTTTAGATTTTATTGGGCACCTGGGCCGCGAAGCGGCCCCTATCCCATTCATCTGCTCCTCTTTCAACTGCTCCTCTTTCTGCAATAATTTAATAAATTGGTAGCGAAGAAAACAGAAAAATTTGTAAAATGAGGATAATTACGCCTACTTTGTATAAGTATCACCACGAGACAACAGCAACCGATTTACCAACTTAAAAATAGAACACGAATCGATTTCGACATTATCAGGGATGCCAACTGCTCCTCTTTCTGCAGAAATTTAATAAATTGGTAGCGAAGAATACAGAAAAATTTGTAAAATGAGGATAATTACGCCTACTTTGTATAAGTATCACCACGAGACAACTGCAACCGATTTACCAACTTAAAAATAGAACACGAATCGATTTCGACATCATCAGGGATGCCAACTGCTCCTCTTTCTGCGAAAATTTAATAAATTGGTAGTGAAGAAAACAGAAAAATTTGTAAAATGAGGATAATTACGCCTACTTTGTAAAGTATCACCACGAGACAGCTGCAAACCGATTCACCAATTTAAAAATAGTGTACGAAATACCTAGCCCAAAGGGCAATCTGCTCCTTAATTGAATAAAAGTAGAGTGGAATGAGATAGACAACTGATTTATTACCAATTTAAGCTTGATTTTTCCTGAGTTCCTAGACCGTAGGTCTATCTGCTCATTCATCGAAATTGTTAATTCAATGAGAGAAGAATAGGATAAGATAGTATTACGCGAGCGTAAAAATTAGTATAAATACATAAATGAATTAAACATAAGAGAATAATTGAAAGACGCAACTGCAATTAAGTTGCATTTCATTAGTTGCTTTGAATTTTTGATTTGTAGTGGTGGAAAACTTACGTAAAATGAAAAACAAACTTAAAATAACTTAGATTTCGTTGCCACAAGAAATATTTTTTTACAAAGCGAAGCAAGTTGGCAATCTATGCAATATGCATGACCATTCAGTATCGGAAATGAGTTTTCCGTTCACAACCAGATAATAGGGCTGAAAGCCCATATATATCAAGACGGAAAAGAGTAAAAACTGGTAAGATATAAATTTCTTTTCTTACCTTTTTTTCGGGAATAATAAAATTCAAGAACTACCAATTGTTTTTAACGCATACGATTTTTATATTAAATTGCTTCTTCGCGAAGGAAAAATTAATCACCGTGAATTGTTTATTGTTGAGAATAGATTAACTCCTCCCGAATTTATCTAATATTGAAATAGTTCTCCTACCAGTATTTTCTCTTTTCCGTCTCGCTTTCAGGCCTGCCAGATAAATGTTAATGATGACATACTTTTACCACCCCCTTTTTGATTTTGAAATTTTCTAAGATGAATTTTTAATGCCCCGACGATCTCGAATCAAATTTTTATTTCAAAAGAAATGTTGTAATTAATAACGTCAAAACTCCGATTTCTGATGAAAATATAAAACATTTACTCAGCGCTGTTGTATGTTTTTTCTAGTAAGTTATGCAAAAACTTTGCTTCAGTAAACTTTGACTCCTGTTTGTAAAATGATTTTTTGTAGGTACTATAATTTAATAATATTTCAAATGAGCTTCGTATTTTGAGAAATAAAAAAAAATTATTACAAGCAATATTGCTAATGTGTGTTAATGTAATAATAAAACGTTATTTTATAATAAAATTTGTTTATGGAAATATTTAAATGTTACGATAATTCGTCTGGAAAAATCAAAATCACTCGTATCAAATAAAGCATTCTGAAAAAATAGCAACTCTAAGAAAATTGAATAGTATTATTCTTATTTAATTAAGAATACATATCATGCCATTTAACTGTCATTTAAAAAAAAGTTTAAAATTTAGCAAAAAAGAATTAAAAATTCTTTTTTTTTAATTAAATCAAACATCAATAAAAAATACATCATCAGCGTGACGACTACCGGATAAAAAAAAAATTTTAAAAAAAAGAGATACATGAAAAATTAAGAAATGAAATATTTTACTAAAACCTGTCAATAGAAATATACTTGAAACTTAAGAGAAATATTACTATAGATAATCAAACTGCTCAACTTAATTCCTAAAATTTAGATAAAATGAAAACCTTTGAAATTTCCACGAAACTTTTACGAACGAAAAAACGAATATATATATATATATATATATATACATANACAGTTGAAAAAATTCCTTAGATTACAATATCTTTATTTACATATTTTTAAAATATATATATATATAAGAAGTTAAATTGTTTTCTGAATAAGAACAGTTGGAATATTATTTTTAAAAAAAATATTTAAAAAATACCTGAATCATATATGAAAAAAAAATTATTAAATTGACTCTCTAAAGTAACGCATGTCAAAGTTAAGCTTAAACCACACTTTATAGTTCGATAATAAGTGTTCTATAATATAATAAATCATTTTTAATTGTTTCCATTTCACAATACCTGAAGCATAAAATCCAAAGACGACCAACACTATGAAACAAGTCCTTAAGAAACTCATGGTCGTCACCAGTCACTTAAGTCCTGGCGAATAGCCACTGACTGACCAGTACCATGCACTGTAAGTTTCAAGATTTTATCTGAACTGGACAATGAATTGTACTATCCACTAGAGAAGAGTTCTTTTTCACTTCCAAACATCAATTAAAACTCCTGCAGTAAAAACACACGGCAGGTGTTAGAAAAAAAATAATATTTTTAAACTTTTATAACTTTATTATCAGTTTAATCAGTGTTTAGGGCCCACGAGTTTGTATGAGGGAAGATGTAACAATCAAATCATGCAAGCAAACACCCCCAAATCAAAGATCAGCAGGGGTTTTTTGTTTTGTTGCAAGATGTTAATAGGCATTCTTCGATGTAAACCGAAGAGATAAAAAAAAGCATTGTTTTAGCTTAGATTAGTATCGTTTAACACAAAATATTGATTTATCTTTCTTATTAATATCAAACATTTTTTTTCATCAGATAAATGTTTCGTCCTTTTATTGATTAACAGTAGAATTAACTGTAATTTAAATGAAATATATATATATATATATGTAATATTTAAGGTTTCATTAGAAAACTTATTTTAATACTGGACATAACTCAAAATGCGTGTAAAAGAAAATTAACTAAGCTTGAAATACGCTTTCGAAAAATTAGACATAGCTTTTTGTTACGACATAGCTTTTTGTTACGCCATAGCTTTTTGTTATGACATAGCTTTTTGTTATGACATAGCTTTACATTACATAATATAAACCATTGTTTCCCAAACAGTGGTTCGAAAACTCTTTAAGGGTTCGTAAATTGTACGTAGAGGTTCGCGAAAATATGATAATAATGATAGTAATTTTAATTTTAAACTACCAGCATAACATAATTACTAAAAAGTAAATTGTATGTAAAATATAGAATTCCAGGGTGGCCACTTTCAAGAGAAATTAAGAAACTGATTGAAAAAGATTGAGAAAAACCAAATGTTATAATTAATTATTATCGACCAAAAATATACAATTTCATAAAACAGCTGCCACGCATTTTTAAAAATTTTCCATACCACGAACTGTTAGAGAATTATCAAAGTAGCCACTACTTTGATAATTCTCGAACAGTTTAGAAAATCTTTTGATGAAAGTTGAGCAATAAACATCCTTGCGATTAGTAATTTAAAAAAAATTTTTGAATAAATGTTCAAAGTATTGGTATGCATAGCCAGGGTTGCCGACTACTCCGCTTTCTGGAAAAGTTTTAATAAATTGGTAGAGAATTAAATAGTAAAACTTAAAGAATCAGGATATTACGCTCACTTTTCAAAAAAGTAATAGCAATATTAATGCATTAAAGTTGCATTTTAAATGATACTTCGAATTTTTGATGTGTAGTGGTGGAAAAATTACTTGAAATGAAAAATACTGAACTAAAAGCTTTAAAGGAAGCATTTGATTTTTTATAGTCTTGTGCCAATCCAAATGAATTTCTTATGTTGCCTTTATTTTTTTTTTCCTTAATTTCTATTTTAAGTCTATTGTATTACCTTCCTTTGTCGCCAGGACAGGCTTTTCCTCTTGGCGACGAATTCTTTGTATTTATGTGTCTGTTTTTGTTCCCAATAAAGTTTTTTGTTTGTTTGTTAAAAGAAAATTAAATTTTGTTACCACTAGAAAATATTTTACAAAGCGGAGCAAGTTGGCATCTTCGCATAGTTACCAACTCAGAAGTCCTAGATCGCCAGAATATTTACGCGATAGCCAAATAACGATTCAAGGAAAACTTAAATTAATTTTACACACACCTTAAAACTACATAGTAGGTTTTATATACATACATATATTTAAGTTCCTTGTATGCAGTAGGGCACAAAATAATTTTAAATTAATTTTATTAAATCAATAAAAAATAGTTAAATTACAAAACTTACTACCACTTAAAATATTTAAATATAAATGCTTTAATAAATTGGAACAGAGTACCAACGAAAGAACTTAACAATTAACTAAAACTTACGCAGTGCAATCACGACCTCTAATTATTTTGATGCTAGGCACCCCTTTTCATATACTAATATTAATTCGTCATAAAAACTCCCCATCATCGATGTTATATTATCGCTGAATCAGTTAATGCCTCTAAGCGGCAGCGGGCTGAGAATTGTTTAATTTCCAACAGACATGATATATACTAGGAGTGTCTTTCAGTTATCATGGTGAATTTTAAATTCAAACAAATAACTCTCAAAAACCAGTAGATTAACGTGTTCATTTCTCAAAAGTAGAGATATACGTTTAAAAAATAATCTTTTAGAAATAACAGTATCGATATTGAGGGTGAAATTTATCGTTATCGTTGATGCTCTGAAAACTAAGGCAATCGATAAATATCGTATTCGATAACCATAGTTGCTGCGAGTAAAAGCAATTTTACAACGTTTATATCAACTTGCCTTCGTGTATGTCTGTTCGGGTGGAATTTTGTAATCGATTTTAAACTAACTTTCCAACTAGCTACAGACTTCAAATTTGGCACATAGTTCAGAATTGGATGACAATGCATGAAAATGAAGAGAAAAAAGACAAACAAATTAAATTTAAATTAAAGAAAAATTAATATTTCGCGATTGTCTTTTGTTGTCGATTCGATTATTTCAAATTAGTGTCACATGTCAGTTAAAAAGTTTCGTGTACAGTGAGGGAAAAAATTGAGATTTCGAAAGTGAGTACAAAAAAAAATTTAAAATAATAATAATATTTTTAAAAACCGCATTTTTGTAGTGGAGAATAATAATTAAAAAACAAAAATTTGAAAAACGAAAAACGTGGGGAGCATGAAATACATAACAGTACATATACACATTTTCTTACTCATACACATGCACAACCATATACACATACACATTCAGATACAATTACAGATATACATACACATATTCTCATGAGCACACATACACACNTACTGTTATGTATTTCATGATCACCGTGTTTTTCGTTTTTCAAATTTTTGTTTTTTAATTATTATTCTCCACTACAAAAACGTGGTTTTTAAAAATATTATTTTTATTATTTGTTGATTATTAAAAGTAATGGAATTCCAGAAATATCATGTAAATTCCTTTTTAAAATATTGCTATAGCAATGTTTAAAACAATATAGCTGTTTCCCGATATAACACAACTCTTTCTTACTCTAGTTAAAATAGCGGGCCGAGTTTTGATCTCTAAAATATCATGTTAAGTAATTTGCGTCATACCCTGGAGCAAATTGCGTGATTTAAAAAATCTCTGCTCCTTTTGGTAAAACTAGTTTATTTTCAAACATTTTCACGCAGAAAAAAAAAATTTATTTAATGAATGAGTTCGAAAACCGGTAATTACCAATAAAACTAATTTTACAAGAGAGACAAAAAAAACTGAATAAATAAGTATCAGCTATATATAGATAGAGCTTTTTTACTGCACAAAATAAATTATAACAAGTAGGTGGGCATGAACTTTTTTTTTATATCCTAACTATATACCCTAGCAACAATCATGCCTTGGCCCTATTTCGGCTCAATATGGGTCCTATATACTCCGAGGAACCAATATTGGGATATTTAGATTTTTTAATATTGATTCTATACAGTGTCAATATCGGCCTATATAGGGCCACTATGGGGCATTTATTGGCTGGATAATGATTACAAAATATCGGGTGTATCTGAAAATTCTATAAAGGGCCAATATTGGTTGTAAAGTGGCAGTAAAATATCGGGTAATCGGACAATTCTATACAGGGCCCATATCGGAAAATATCGGTCCTATGAACTCTTATTGAGTCAAAGTTCGTGAATATTTGTCCGATGGGAGCCCAAGTTATTTTGCTGCTACGTCATCTACATCAGCTACACTTAAAGATGGAGATGGTTGTTTTTTGGACTCAACGATTCTATTGTAATTATTACTTTTTTATCCATAATCGAAAATATTTTTAAATTATGAGGTTCGCTAGCAAAATTTAAAAGAAAAAAATTGTTTACTATCATCAATAATTATGATTTTAATGTCACTTAGAAAAGCACATAAAATCACAAATAGTCCCAGCAATGACAATCAACTTATCGTCTCGAAAATAACTGTAGTGAAAAGCTTTATCCAGAAATGAGAAAAAACTGATAATAAAACCATGCAAACAGAGTAAATTACCCGTCGATAATGGAGGTGTGTTCAGAATGGCCAAAATTGTAAATAGTTTTTCTAATTCTTCTCAATCAACATAAGTTTATAAATAAAAGTAAATCACTCTAGATGTTAAAACTGGCCGACCTAATTACTAAAATTTTTAAAAAAATTAAAGCCTTCAAAATTTCCAGCAGTTTTAGGAAATGTTTGTCACCACTTTTTAAATTTTTTCCAGCTCGCAGTTACCCGAATGTTATAACTTTAATAAATCAAGATAGCTGTGGAATTTTTATTACTCCATCTGAAAACAAGTTAAAAACGAAACGGTTTTACAAATAATTTTTTCTCAATGGGAGTTCTTTTCATGATTGAAGGTCAATATTCTCAACTCATTTAAAACTACTTTTGTCAAAATTCAGCAATTTGTTTTGATGTAAAAAGCACTTTATAAAAAACGACATCAACGATTCTTAAATTTATCCAGGGTACTTAAGGATTGGAAAATTTTGTCAAAATGGTAGTAAAAGTGAGATAAGCCTGAATGCAATAATAATACCCAATAAATATTTAATTTAAAGGAAATATATATAAGTGCAAAAAATATTTTGGGATTCTGAAATGAAAGTAAATTTAAGCATTTTTCAATAGTTTTGATAAACTTTATCTACCACTCTTTTATTTATTTTTTCCAAGTCGTGGGAACCATGCAATCCAAATTTTCTAGCATTGGGCTGCTAATTTAGTTTCGAAATACCACTAGAATCTTGTTTCAAGTCAAAATATTGATAATATGTATAAATTATGGTGAATATGGTGAACTTGACCATTAAGATAGTTAATCAACAAAGAATTGGTCAACTAGATAGAATTTAGTGTATTTTTCGACAATGCATTGCTAGAAAGTCAGATGAATTGATTTATAAGGAAATTGAAAATATTGTAAAATATGTGAACCAAAATCATCATTTCCCCTTTCTAAATGAACTTCTGATTATCATTTCAAAAATAGAGCAAAGATAAATTATTTCTGTTATTTGATAATAGGAGCCTGATAAC